TGTGCAGCTGTGTGTCAAGATCACAAGAATGTATTTGAGTCATAAGGGGAACGTCCGTAAGGGTCAAACTAAGGAGGTCAATAGTGTTGAGAGCTGTTTCTCAGCCACAACACCAGACTCCTTACCCCAGCTGCCACCTACAAGCATGGGCTGTTGGTCAACTTACTTCACCTCTCTCATCCTGTTGTCTGCAGCTAGGGAGAAATGATATGCTCACATCATGGTGATGTGTTGGGGGACAGGACATGAATTCTAGTTGACACATAGTTGAACCCAGGCAATTGGAGGCTCCTCACCCACTTCCCCTATCCTGGAGATGTAGGTTCCACTTGCTTGGTCCACTCCCAGAATCTGCCACAAACCAATGCCTTGAGATACCAATGTGTTGTTGAAACCATCTGAACTGGGTATGTGACTGAACCCACTTAAAGCTTCTCTGTAAACCTTCTGATTCTGGCAAGTGGGTGTAGATATCTACCCATCTTGTGGATACCCAAAACAACCCTTGTATGTAAACTCCCTATGTTATTAAACCTACCACATATCAACCCAGAGTGCCTGGCCTTTTCTTCAGTCTCTCCTAATCTTCTGTGTAAAGAGGCTGCATCCAGATTACACCTGGGAAGCAGCAGAGGAGGTTGCCAACCAAGGGAGGGTGAACACACATGTTATATAAATTTCTCAGTAGAATCTGGTTTGTGCTGATCTCCTGGCATGCTATCCATTTTGTCACCTCTTTCGCACTCTAAAGTATCCCCTCCAGAAAAATAAATGTCATCTTCTTCCTATGCATATGACAAGATTAAAGGTTTGCTTCAGTACCTTGTCTTGAGTGACTGCTCTACTATTGTTTGCCATTCATGTTTTATTGAACATTGGAAATGCATAAACACCCATGGTTGCTGGGCTTTGAGAAGATTAACAAACCAATAGTGTGTGAAATATGTTTGACAGAGAAGTTCTATGTAAATTATATCTCAGGAAAACTCTTCCAAAAAGAAGTCAGAACAGTACCAAGTAAGCATGGATCAAAATACTGTGCTGTTTATTCAAACATAGGATTTTAACCTCAAATCTCAAAATGACCTTCTCTAGATCATTCAAGAGAATGTGAAGTTCAACAGAGTTTCCAGTGGTCTCTGATGGTCCTACTACTCTTCAAGGTATATCATAAGAGCTTTCTCAGTTTTATAAAATGAATCACTAGTGGCTGCCATGTACACAGCACCTGCTCTGTGCCCAATCTAGTCCTGAGGACTTATTACAATCCCAGGACTATTCCCAGTATACAAAGAGATACAGCCTTGAAATCTCCATAGCACACTTGGCCCATGGCAAGTAATGAGCCTGGTTTAGGAATGGCCCATATACTGTGAACCACCAATATCTCACTGCCTTCAAGATGTTTCCAAGGCTAGGCACTTCCTAACATTGCTGGCCTGTGTAACTTCCTCCCTCCCCAAGTTCTAGACTTTGGCATTATCTTAATGAGGAAGAAGTTCACTTCCAAAGAACACACCTGAGGTTAATGTCCCTACAATCCTGCAGGTGAGGGGCAGAACCGGTTCTACAGAATTAGTGAAAAAACATGTAGGGTATCTTCTCAAATACTGCAAGGTTGATCCTTATCACTAACTTACAATTTAAAACCACTTAAGAATATCTAAATTTTGAAATAACTCCTTCAAAATGTTGAAAAAGAAAAACAAACCTGGGGGCATCACGTTGCCTGATTTCAAGCTATATTGCAAAGCTGTGAAAACTAAGACAGTGTAGTACTGGCACAAAAACAGACACATAGACCAGTGGAACAGAGTAGAGAGCCCAGATATGGACCCTCCACTTTATGGTCAAATAATCTTCGACAAAGCAGGAAAAAATATACAGTGGGAAAAAGACAGTCTCTTCAATAAACGGTGCTGGGAAAATTGGACAGCTAGATGTAGAAGAATGAAACTTGACCATTCTCTTATACCATACACAAAAATAACCTCGAAATAGATGAAAGACCTTAATGTGAGGCAGGAATCTATCAAAATCCTAGAGGAGAACATAGGCAGTAACTTCTTCAACATTGGTCACAGCAACTTCTTTCAAGACACATCTCCAAAGGCAAAGGAAACAAACACAAAAATGAACTTTTGGGACTTCATCAAGATCAAAAGCTTCCGAAAACCAAAAGAAACAGTAAACAAAACAAAGAGGCAACCCACAGAGTGGGAGAAGATATTCGAAAATGACAGTACAGACAAAGGGCTGATATCCAAGATCTATAAAGAACTCCTCAAACTCAACACCCAAAAAAAACAGATAAGCATGTCAAAAAATGGGCAGAAGACGTGAACAGACACTTCTCCAAAGAAGACATGCAAATGGCTAATAGACATATTAAAAAATGTTCATCATCATTAGCCATCAGGGAAATTCAAATCAAAACCACATTGAGATACCACCTTACACCACTTAGAATGGCCAAAATTAACAAGACAGTAAACAACAAGTGTTGAAGAGGATGTGGAGAAAGGGGAACCCTCTTACACTGTTGGTGGGAATCCAAGTTGGTGCAGCCACTTTGGAAAACAGTGTGAAGATTCCTTAAGAAATTAAAAATAGAGCTTCCCTATGACCCTCCAATTATACTACCGGGTATTTACCCCAAAGATACAGATGTAGTGAAAAGAAGGGCCATCTGTACCCCAATGTTCATAGCAGCAATGTCCACAATCACCAAACTGTGGAAAGAGCCAAGATGCCCTTCAACAGATGAATGGATAAAGAAGATATGGGACATATATACAATAGAATATTATGCCTCCATCAGAAAGGATGAATACCCAACTTTTGTATCAACAGGGACAGGACTGGAGATTATGGTGAGTGAAAAAAGTCAAGCAGACAAAGTCAATCAATATATGATTTCACTTACTTGTGGAACATAAGCAATAACATGGAGAACATTAGGAGAAGGAAAGGAAAAGTGAATTGGGGAAAATCAGAGGAAGAGACAAAGCATGAGAGACTGTGGACTGTGAGAAACAAACTGAGGGTTTGGGAGGGGATAGGGGTGGGCGGATGGACAAGCCTAGTGATGGGTATTAAGGAGGGCACGTATTGCATGGAGCACTGGGTGTGATGCATAAACAATGAATCTTGGAACACTGAAAAAATAAAATAAAATAAAAAGTAAAACAAATAAAATAACTCCTTCATAGGCTTTTGTTCCAATGCATGATACACTGAGAAAAGATGGCTCTCACTGACTGTTACTACTTTTATGACATATGGTAAGTCCTCAAATGACCAAAATATTGGTATGAGTATATATCAGGTCTTCCATGTCCTTGAAGACAGGCCAAATATAACTCTCTCTTGCCACTACTTTCTCTCTCTCCCATGATACAAAGTAATCAGGGCAAAATCTGTACTTGTACAAATTCACCCATACGCCATGATTTTTCTTGATAGGGGATCAATTAGTGTCACACAAACACCCAAACTGAAGGCTCCTTGATTTTTCTAGTTTCTGAGCATCATCTGGGGGCCTGACTTAAAGCCCCCTTTTTTAAATTTTTATTTATTTTTTAAATTTCTTTTCAGTATTCCAGAATTCTTTATCCTGCCAAATACCAAGTGCTCCAGAGCCTCTGTACTTGCTGTTCACTCTGCCTAGAACACTCTTTCCTAGATCTTCCCCTTGATATCATTGTCCACTTGTCCAGGCTTTAAAGTCCGTGCTCCTGTAGCTGGCCTGGACCTCTGTACAAGACACTGCTCCTCATGGTTGTTTTGTTGTTCCATAGAGCAAATGCTTACTGATGTCACTCATTCACTTGTGGGATTGTTTGTTGCCTCCCTTGTGAGAAGTATGTTCCACAGAGTCAAAGTCCTGAATCTGGGTCACGTAGGACAGGACCTGTCATGGGGGAAGCTCATGGTTACTGTTGAGCAGTGGATGGATGGGTGGATGGATGGATGGATGAATGGAATGATGGATGGGGGTGGATGTTTGTGTGATGGATGGAGTAATGAATTGATGAAACCTCCCATTTATTCATGATTACCTTATTTGAAGCCCTGAATAAGCTCTTTACAGAGTGTCTGGCATTCCTGTAAAACCAGGCCTAGATTTATTCCTGCTCATTTTAGAAATGAGGAAAAGGAAGCTTGACATGACCCGCAGTTTCACTTGTCCAAGAACACTTTGTGATTAAGTGTTGCATCCAAGGTTTCAATCCACATCTACTTGAGCCCAGACCTGGTCACTGTTCCACCCTCGGCACTGCCTCTGCTGAGCAACCACTTGTTCTACTGCTTCACATCATCCTTTGAGTCGGTAGGAAAAAATCCTAAAGAGCTAAAAAAATTCATAGACTGAATTTATGATATTGAGTTAATTAAATGAGATATTCTTTGTAAAAAGAAAAAAAACCTTCAGAGAGAGTGAGACATTGTGAGTGTTTCTCAAACATCAAGCACCTTACTGAAGTGTCTGTGGGTGAGGAAGTCTTCCAAATGAGGATGTATGTGGTATTGCCCTGAGCCCAGAGGTGTGGTAAGCCAGCATGAGCAGACACACAGGATAGGAAGGTATATGGACCTTGAAGGAGGAGGGAGGAATGTGAGAAGGATATGAAGACCACACTAATAATAAAACAACATGGATAACAACACAGACTCGCCTTGCTGTAATCTGATTAGTTAGCAAACATTTTTGCATTCATTTCATCTAAAGCCACGTAGCATTATTGAGTGTCAGAATGGTTTGGGGTCCAAAAAGCTCTGTCTCCTTGGTTTCTACAAACAGAGCACAGGCTGGCTGGATTGCAGTTGATTCTTCCTGCTGTTTTCCTGGTCCAGAGCCAGGTTCAGGTGTGACTCATTTCCTCATTTATGGGAGGTATTAAAGTGGTGAACAGGAGAATGGAAGGAGGACTCCTAGGTGCTCACTACCAGAGTTAGTTCTATCCTCCCTGTCTGATCAGCCAACCATGTGCTCAACTATGAAGTTGCTGAGAGTCCTTGTGCTGATTGCCCTCCCCCTTTACTGCTTTGCAGGTAAGTCCTGTGTGGGGAGGGCAACTTTTAGGGTGAAGATCGTGTCAGGTCCCTCTGGAAGACCTCCTGTTCCCCCAAACTCCAGTGCAGAACATCTCATTTCTCCAGTGTCTTCGTGTTTCATGATTACCAGCGTTTTGCTTCTCTGGACTTTGGAATAGTGTGTGGGTGGGGAGGGGGCATACATGTTTTGGGGCTTAAAGGAAATCTTAGATCCTGAGTTCAGTCGGCTAGAATTGGGAACTCAAGACCATTCAGTGTAATCTTTCTAAATGTATGTGTCTATTTAGATGGGAAAAGATGACTGATGTCCTCGGGACTCCCAAAAAGAGCTTCACACTTACATAATTGAGACCTCACTTGCAAGTTTTCTTCCAGGTTCTGGATGCCCACTTGTAGAAGAGGTGATTAACAAAACAATCGATTCTCAAGTGAGCACGGATGAATACCAAACTTTCCTGAAACCCTTCTCAGATGGTCCTAGCACTGATAAGGCCATAGCACAACTGAAAGGATGTTTTCTCACCCAGTCAAACGAAACTCTGAGCAAGGTTGGAGAGCTGATGGCTTCTTTTAATGAACTTTCAAACCACTGGACAGGGACAAGCAGGCTCTAAGTTTGTCACTCATTGTGCCACAGCAAGTGTTACACAGGCCTTATTTTATTTCAGTGAATTTAATTGTGGGTGCATGTGAAATAGTGGGTGCATGTGAAATTGTGGGTGCATCCAGAAAGTCAGCCAAGGTCCCAATGCTGACTTGTCTCTTCACTTTGTGGACTCTTTAGGGAAAAATTAATGAAAAAGGCCAAAGCAGGGGAAAAACACACACATGCATACACACATGCATACACACACACATGCACACATTTTCTATCAAGGTAAAAAACATCTGATTCTCAATAAGGACCCCACTTGAAGTCATCAGCAAAAAAGATACCCTTATTCTTAGAAACAAAGAGGAAACTATTCATAAGAATTTTTAAGAGAATCCAGAAGAACCCAGGTGAAAAAATCCTGTACTTCTTATTAAAAAAATTTTAAATGCACTTTCAAGAAATCCCAATGTGCTAGTATAAGTGATTGGATTCCTTGACTATTACTTTAAGATACCATGAATGACAAGTAGAGAGGTCAAGAGTATGAATCAGCCATGGGGGTGGACTTGTGTAAAACAAGTATCAGTCCTGTGTTGGTTCTCTATATTTTATTCCCTATCCTAATATGCCATTGAAAACCTTCCAGGGTAGACAATGGAGAAATATAGCCAAAGCAAAAGGTTAAAGTGTCCTTCACTGAGATGCTGACACAGGGCACAACATGGATGAGCCTTGAGCACATTACGGTAAAGGAAATAAGCCAGTAAAAGAAGACAACTATTGCATGAGGTCATTTATATCCATTTTCTAAAGTACCCAATCTCCTAGAGACAGGAGGTAGAATAGTACTTCCTAGGAGCAGGGTGGTATGGGAAATGGGGATTATTCAGTGGGTATAGAGTCTCACCAAAGCAAGATGAAAATGTTTAGGAGACTGGTTGCACCACAACGCCAGTATACTTAACACTGCTGAACTGTATACTTAAGATGATGAAATGGTCAATTTTATGTTATGTGTGTTTACCATCAGTTTATGTGTATTTACCATGAGTTTAAACAGTTTAAAGCCTGAAAACCCTTGCAACCAAGGATAATGGAATTTTTTCTTTAAAAACTTTGATTAGATTCATCAATTGGAGTGCACATATCCATTCTTTTCTGGGTCTCAAAGGTAATAGTTTTGGTATCAGACTGTTTGGGGTATCTCTAACATGTAAAGTCACACCTGACCTTAAAAACATCACATTTCCATGTATTTGAGAGGAGACTTACAATTCTTTGTTGAAACTGATGATGCACATCTCTGTTTTTGATTTCCAGAACATAATATATGAAAGTAAGTGGTGTGCTGCATTTTAACCTTGCACATGACCTTGGGCACTGAGGACCATAGAGAATGGACAGAAACTGACTTCTGATTAATAGGAACCACAACTTTCTTTTCCTTTTTTGTCTTTTGATCTATTAACTGCAAGACGATTGTTGAAACCTCAAGTACATTTTCATTTCAATAAAGTATCTGCAAATGGAAAAATCTTCTTGTATTGTCTGATCAAAATAGCTGCTTTAGGGAGCCTCTTCACTCACACATGCATGTGCCCACATGCACATGTACACACACGCTCATACATAATTCATTGGAGAGCACATGGATGAAGGACTGAGGAATGTGAAAAGCACTTTGGTCCTCCCCATGTGTAGCCCAACACGATCCTTTCTCTGAAAAATGTGATCTTTCACCTTCCTGGCCCCCATTTCCCTCGGGACCATGTGTGAAAATCTCAGGACTTACGTTCCAGAGTTTGGGCAGCATGCAGGTCCCTGAGATACTGTAGTCTTCATCTGTGTCTCAGCATTCATTTTGAGTTTTGAAATATTTCATTAAAACATAACTTGGCCTAATTACTAATATAGGGTCTGCCCCCTGAAATTGTGTGGGTGCCCCTAGTCCTGTCCCTGCAAGTGACAATGTGGTCCAGTCTCTCCACTACATGACCAACCCAGCCAGGTAGGTTGCAGGAAATGTGTGTGTTCTGTAGGAATAAGGCAAAGCCAGCAGTTTTTATACTTACTGTTTATACTATACCCTATTTTTATCGATCCCCGCATTCCTGTCACCAGGGATAAGTTATTGCCACCCCTTCTGCTCACTGCTCAGGGGTCGCTTTTGTATTCCTTCATGGGCTATCCTGTCACCCTAGGAGACCCCAGGTCCTTCCTCAGGATTGTTTCTCAGCTTCAACCAGGGATGACTTCTACCAGGCATAACACATACACAGAATTAGGCTGACAATACTTTTAGGATTCTACAAAAATGTTACACATTATTTTAAAATATTAACCAAAAGTGACTGTAGTAATAATGAATAGATACCAATGAACCAGAGTGGAGTATGTTCGCCTTTATACTGACGCAGTTGTAATATATGGTATTTAATATGCTTTTTATGGAAACTGACCCAAACTACATAAGACTTACAAAAATCATAATGAGTCCCTCTTCTCTTCCTTCTCCCAACACCTCAGGGTCTGTGATGCCTTTAAGCCCAGGCAAAAGGACCCTTGCCCAGGACCCACATCTTGAAAGTTCCCCCCACCATTACACACACACACGCACACACTTATTTGTTAAAAACTCAAGGACCATACACAGTTCTCAGTGCACTAGGTGCATCTTCACTGGGGAGGGAGGTCATACCATCTCTCTCCACCTCTCAAAAATGGGTCAGTCAACGCTGTCTCATCAGAGACCGTCAGAGAGGTCTTGGGGAAAAAACCCAAGAGACCATCAGAGAGGAAAAGGAAGAGATTCAGTTGCAGGAACTGGAGATGGACACACATATGCAGAAAATTGTATCTGTTGAGATGAGCCCTGACCTATTTGATAAAGGTGTCTATATATTGAACAGAGCAAATCTCATGCAAGAATTGGTAATAAAGTTTATTGAAGGACTGGAGCAGTAAAAAAAAAAAGAAAAAAAGACACAAGATTCCTTCAACAGATGAATCGCTAAAGAAAATGTGGTTCATATACAATGGAATATTACTCAGCCATCAGAAAGGATGAATGCTTGGGGCACCTGGGTGGCCCAGTCATTATGTGTGTGCTTTCAGCTCCGGTCATGATCCCAGGGTCCTGGGATCAAGCCCCACATTAGGCTCCTTGCTCAGCAGGAAACCTGCTTCTCCCTCTCCCACTCCCGCTGCTTGTACTCCTTCTCTCATTGTCTCTCTCTCTCTCTCTCTCTCTCTCTGTCAAATTAATAAATAAAATCTTTTTTTAAAAAAAGGATGAATGCCTACCATTTACATCAAGATGGATGGAACTGGAGGGTATTATACTAATGAAATAAGTCAAGCAGAGAAAGACAGTTATCATATGGTTTCACTCATATGTGGAATATAAGAAATAGTGCAGTAGATAATAGGGCAAGAGAAGGAAAACAGAATGGAAAGAAATCAGAGAGGGAGACAAATCATGAAAGACTCTTGACTTCAGGAAAAAAATTGAGGGTTGTATAAAGGGAGGTGGAGGGGAGGGATATCTGGGTGATGGGCATCACATCATGATGAGCACTGGGTGTTAAATGCAACTAATGAATCACTGAACACTACAACAAAAACTAATGATGTATTATGTGTTAGCTAATTGAATATAATAAAAAACTAATTATGTATTATATGTTAGCTACTGAATTCAAATTTTAAAAAGGAAAGGGAAGATGAGGATGCCTAATGACTGATCATTTGAAGAGATAGTACTGACTCTAGAACTGGGAGAAAATAAAGGAGGTTGTATAATAAAATAAATTGAGTAGCACATCAGCAAGAGTGCCTGAATAAAGATATATGGGTGTTCTACTACAAATATTACTGCATCATTTCTGTCACTTTGTGGGGGGTTTCTTGGGTTTTTTCCCAAGGTTTTATTTAAATTAAAGATACTTAACATATAGCATAGTATTAGTTTCAGAAGTAGAATTCAGTTATTTATCCCTTACATATAAAACCTAATGCTCATCACAAGTGTCCTCCTTGATGCCTATCACCCATTTAGCCCATCCACCACCCACCTCCCCTCCAGCATCCCTCGGTTTGTTCTCTACAATTCAGAGTCTCTTCTGGTTTGCTTCCCTCTTTGGGTTTTTTTTTTCAATGATTTATTTTTTTTAATTCTTTACATTTATTTTCAGCGTAACAGTATTCATTGTTTTTGCACCACACCCAGTGTTCCATGCAATCCGTGCCCTCTCCAATACCCACCACCTGGTTCCCCCAACCTCCCATACCCTGCCACTTCAAAACCTTCAGATTGTCTTTCAGAGTCCATAGTCTCTCATGGTTCACCTCCCCTTCCAATTTCCCTCAACTCCCTTCTCCTCTCTAACTCCCCTTGTCCTCCATGCTATTTGTTATATAAATAAGTGAAACCATATGATATAAGTGAAAATAAGTGAAACCATATGATAATTGACTCTCTCTGCTGACTTATTTCACTCAGCATAATCTCTTCCAGTCCTGTCCATGTTGATAGAAAAGTTGGGTATTCATCCTTTCTGATGGAGGCATAATACTCCATAGTGTATATGGACCACATCTTCCTTATCCATTCGTCCGTTGAAGGGCATCTTGGTTCTTTCCACAGTTTGGCGATGGTGGCCATTGCTGCTATGAATGTAGGGGTACAAATGGCCCTTCTTTTCACTACATCTGTATCTTTGGGGTAAACACCCATTAGTGCAATTGTAGGGTCATAGGGAAGCTGTATTTTTAATTTCTTAAGGAATCTCCACACTGTTCTCCAAAGTGGCTGCACCAACTTGCATTCCCACCAACAGTGTAAGAGGGTTCTCCTTTCTCCACATCCTCTCCAACACTTGTTGTTTACTGTCTTGCTAATTTTGGCCATTCTGACTGGTGTAAGGTAGTATCTCAATGTGGTTTTAATTTGAATCTCCCTGATGGCTAGTGATGATGAACATTTTTTTATGTGTCTGATAGACATTTGTATGTCTTCATTGGAGAAGTGTCTGTTCATATCTTCTGCCCATTTTTTGATATGATTGTCTGTTTTGTGTGTGTTGAGTTTGAGGAGTTCTTTATAGATCCTGGATATCAACCTTTTGTCTGTACTGTCATTTGCAAATATCTTCTCCCATTCCGTGGGTTGCCTCTTTGTTTTGTTGACTATTGCCTTTGCTGTGCAGAAGCTTTTGATTTTGATTAAGTCCCAAAAGTTTATTTTCGCTTTTGTTTCCTTTGCCTTTGGAGACATATCTTGAAAGAAGTTGCTGTGGCTGATATCGAAGAGGTTACTGCCTATATTCTCCTTTAGGATTCTGATGGATTCCTGTCTCACATTGAGGTCTTTTATCCATTTTGAGTTTATTTTTGTGTACGGTGTAAGAGAATGGTCGAGTTTCCTTCTTCTACATATAGCTGTCCAGTTTTCCCAGCACCATTTATTGAAGAGACTGTCTTTTTTCCACTGTATATATTTTCCTGTTTTGTCGAAGATTACTTGCCAATAGGGTTGAGGGTCCATATCTGGGCTCTCTACTCTGTTCCACTGGTCTATGTGTCTGTTTTTTATGCCAGTACCATGCTGTCTTGGTGATCACAGCTTTGTAGTAAAGCTTGAAATCAGGTAACGTGATGCCCCCAGTTTTATTTTTGTTTTTCAACATTTCCTTAGCGATTCGGGGTCTCTTCTGATTCCATACAAATTTTTGGATTATTTGCTCCAGCTCTTTGAAAATTACCGGTGGAATTTTGATCGGAATGGCATTAAAAGTATAGATTGCTCTAGGCAGTATAGACATTTTAACAATGTTTATTCTTCTGATCCAAGAGAGCATGGAATGGTCTTCCATCTTTTGTACCTTCTTCAATTTCTTTCATGAGTGTTCTGTAGTTCCTTGAGTACAAACCGATACCAAAAGACTGAGATTATTCTCTGCATATTCTCAGATCACAATGCTTTGAAACTGGAGCTCAATCACAAGGAAAAGTTCAGAAGGAACTCAAACACCTGGAAGCTAAAGACCACCTTGCTTAAGAATGCTTGGATCAACCAGGAGATCAAAGAACAACTTAAACAATTCATGGAAACCAATGAGAATGAAGACACTTCAGTCCAAAACCTATGGGATACAGCAAGAGCAGCCCTAAGGGGGAAATACATAGCCATCCAAGCCTCCCTCAAAAAAAAGAAAACTGAAAAATCCAGAATACACCAGCTGTCTCTACACCATAAAGAACTGGAGAATCGACAACAAATCAAACCAACTCCACACATAAGAAGGGAAATAATCAAGATTAGAGCAGAGATCAATGAGGTAGAAACCAGAGATACAGTA